GCAGGCAGAGGAGGGAGCGGTGCCGGTGAAGGGTCCCCTTACCCGCAATGACCCGCGCCCTTCCCCCAGGCCTGCTGGAGCTCTCGCCGGTGGAGCGGGGCGTGGTGAGCATCTTCGGCGTGGCCAGCCGGTTCTTCGTGGCCATGAGTAACAAGGGCAAGCTGTACGGCTCGGTGAGTACCGCAGGGGCCCGCCGAGCACCGGCTGAGGAGCCCGGGCAGGATCCTGACCCTCCAGACCGCCGGAAATGCAGGGCGGGGTCCCAGGACCGGTGGCCCCTCACCCCCAATGCCCTGGGACAGCGCCTGCCCAGGACCAGGGCCAGCCAAGGAGTGCAGCCTCAAGGCAGTAATATTGAGGTTCATGCCATCCCGGCGTGGGCGCCTCCCAGTCCATCCAAGGGTGCCGTTGGGAGCCCTTCTCTGAGCCCTTGGGCTGCATGTCCCAAGGGCCGGACTGGGGCCTTTAAGGTGGACACAGTGGAGATGAAATTCTCTGGCTGCCAGGTGCTGGGCAGGTGGCTGGGGCACCAGCTGCTGTGACTGGCCGTGGTGTCCCTCTTCTCACCCGGGGATGGTCTTGCCACCTGACTTCTGAGGAGAGACCCGTCACCCTAGTGGGATTGCGACAGAGAGGAGCCCCTGACCCCTGGCCCCTGGCCCCAGGCCCCAGGGTCCCTCAAGCCTGGGGAGGTCCGACCTCACACTGTTCCTCCTTCCTCTAGCCTTTCTTCACGGAGGAGTGCAAGTTCAAGGAGATACTCCTCCCCAACAACTACAACGCCTACGAGTGCTACAGGTACCCCGGCATGTTCATCGCCCTGAGCAAGAACGGGAAAACCAAGAAGGGGAACCGAGTGTCCCCCACCATGAAGGTCACCCACTTCCTCCCCAGGCTGTGACCATCAGAGCCCTGCCTCAGCCTCGGAAAGCCCCCGGGGAGGGGAGCGCCCAGGGCCACCTCGGTGCACTTTCTTCCGATGGACACGTTCAATGCAAGAGTAGGTGTACGATATTTAAATTAATTATTTAAATATGTGTATATATGGCCACCAAATTATTTATGGTTCTGTGGGTGTGTTTCATATTTTTCTGGAAAAGAAAAAAAGGACAAAGGACAAAAAAAAAAATACCCTGACTTTTCTGGTAAAACCGTGGAGACCCCTCCATTGGATTAATTTAACTTCAGAGACTTGTCACAAGTGTGCTGCTATTCTGTGTCGTAAAAGCCAGTGATATCGGACTCAGATGTCCGCTTGCTTTGCACCCTCCGGTGGCCCTGTGCCCGGCAAGGCCCTCCCGGGGCTCGGGGCTCCGGAGACCAGCTCTGGAGGCTCCCAGCGGGCTTCCTCCCCCAGCACCCTGGGCGCCCCGCTCCCTTTGTGCCCTGTTGCTATTAATTGGGGCGGATCGGTTTACTTCGGGGACAGAGAGTACGCTGTGGAGCCCACCACTGCCGCTCTGTTTTTAGATCTGCTGAGACTGACCTTTGAACTTTGCTGTAGTCAATCTTCCTCCATCTACCAGATGGGAGAGACCTTTAGACAACTTTATAAACTCCGGTTTTCCTTTTTTGGATCAGCCACAGCCACGGTTCTGTGGTCACTGGGGGGGGGGGGGGGGG